AAAGTAGACAAGCTTCTGACTTGTACTCTTCGTACACACACACATACGAAGAAACATGATGGGAAGACCTACGTCAATATGAAGACATAAAAAGTATCAGTAAGTGACAATGAATATATATTGTATATATAAATGGTTAGTTTTCATTGAATTCAATTGGATGTGAATTCATACTACTCTACTTATTTTGCTTTTTATGTTAATATATATACATGTATGTTTGGTGTATTGCAGCAAAACTACGAAGTCACGCAGGAGGCAGTTCGAGAATAATGCTTAAATGTGACACGTGACCAGATTTTTATATCTACAGTCGGAAGACGTGATGCCAAAAATCGTGTTCATGGTGTTGGAGATCTCGCACGAAGCCTACCACGAATGCATGCAAGTGAGGCAAGACGTGAACTATTGTCGATTATAGAAGAGATGACCTGATGAGATACGGGGTTTGCACGCGCTTATTGAATATTTTATTAGAATTGAAGAACATTATATTAAACTTAAGTTTGATGGTTATGTAAGTGGAGTTAGATTTGATTGTTAAGTTGAATTTTTATAAATATTATTTGAATTTTAATTGTAGTTTGGTGATTTGAATATTCTTGGTTGTTTGGTGCTGAGGATTCCTGGGCTAGAGTAGGTTGCTATGGATGTTCTGTGAAATTGAAAAAATGGCAACTTTCTGTATTCGTGCTGTAAAATTGGCGATGGAATATCATTTCCGTCGCTGTATGGTCAAAATGCAGAAACGGTAGCTAAAACTGTCGTTAATCTTAGCGACGGAAATTTTCCGTCGTTAATTCCGTCGCCTCATTCCGTCGCAAATTCCGTCGTAGCCTAGCGACGGATTAAATAATCCGTTGTTAAACTTATTACTAACGAAAAAATAACGACGGAATACAAACCGTCGTTGTTTCCGTCGCTAGGCCGATTCCCTACGGAAATCAAGCTTTAGCGACGGAATAATTCCGTCGCGATTTCAGCAGTTTTTTGCAGTGAAAATATATGAGAAAAAATTCACCCAACTCCATTAGTATGAGGCCTTTTGGGAGGTGCCCAAAAACAAATTCGTGAGAGCTTTGCCTAGAGCGGACAATATCATTCTAATGCGGGGTTGGGGTGAGGGCATGCGCAGTCCCAACACTATAAAATACTTCCATTTTACTTAAAATGTCCAAAATATCATGAAAACAACTTATGTCCACAATAAATTACGAAATGAGAGTGTATTTTACACATTTTAAATTGGGTATAAGTGTTCAGAGGAATGCGTAAGAAATTAGGGTGTAAGTCTTTTCTGAAATGGAGTATGGGTATTATATTCAATATATCCGTTCACCAAAACCCTTCATTTTTCATTTTCTCTTTCACTAAAACACTTCCACTTTTCATACTGTACTTATCACATACTCTCTCAGTCCCATAAAACCTTTCTCCTTTCCTTTTTTATTCGTCCCACAAAACATTTCTCATTTCTATTAAAAAGTCACTTTTACCCCTTACTTTTTCATACCCTAACTATTGCATCATACCTTTTTACTAATAATCTATCCATCAAATCATACTTTTACCCATCATATCAAAGGATATTTTTGGAAATTCAATACCAAAATACACTCCTCTTAAATCCCTCCTAAAAAGCAAAACTCCCATGTATCACGGGAGGGAGGGAGTATCATATTTTTTATTAATAATTTATCAATTAAATCCTACTTTCACTACAAAAAATCTTACTTTTTTGGGCACCAGATTTTGCCACAAATCATCCAAAATTAGCCACAATAACAATTTGTAACAATTCTGGAATTTGCCACAAATACCCCGTTACAAAAGGAATTTGTGGAAAATTTAAATTTACCACAAAAATCATGGTTTTTGTGGCAAAATATGATTTGCCACAAATGAGACTTTGTTGGATTTAGAAGATGAAGAACACTGCGAAGCAGTGTTAAACGAAGAACTCGATAGAATAACGAATCGCGTACGAAACGCTTTCAGATCAAAGTTATTTCGGGGTATACGAAATACTTCAATCGGATAAGACGTTAATTCAGAACAAGCACTCGAGAATCTATATATCAACCCATACCACGAGACTCTATTTTATATAGTCGAAAATCCTTGTGATCGGACATGAACATTCGCGTAGATGTACGCGTACGTTCGCGCAAGAAGAAGAAAGGTGCGAGTTTGAACGAAAGGTCTCCTGCGGTTGAAGGCTTAATTTCGACGTTTATCCATTATGTACGAGTCCTTTACCGTTTAGGACTCCGGTCACGAAAATCTTAAGGATTTTCTTAAAGAAACAACGTCCGAANAGTCGAAAATCCTTGTGATCGGACATGAACATTCGCGTAGATGTACGCGTACGTTCGCGCAAGAAGAAGAAAGGTGCGAGTTTGAACGAAAGGTCTCCTGCGGTTGAAGGCTTAATTTCGACGTTTATCCATTATGTACGAGTCCTTTACCGTTTAGGACTCCGGTCACGAAAATCTTAAGGATTTTCTTAAAGAAACAACGTCCGAAGCCAGGGGCTCTGCCCCTTGGACCCCGCCAGGGGCTGCCGCCCCTTGGACCCCGCTACCCGGGGGCTGCCGCCCCCGGACCCCGCAGTGAATTTATAATATCGTTGAACGAGCGCGCACTCCGCGCCTCCTAACTCGTTTGACAACGTCTATTTAAATTCTTGTCCGATCAAAGTAAATCCAATTACACAAAATAAATTGATGACACTAAAATCACCAATAGACTTTGCCACAAAAACTTATGTCTAGTAGCTAATTTGAGTTGCCACAAATAATACTCTGCCAAAAAAATTCATGTATGCTATTTAAAGAACTGTACCTTCTTTTTAATGAAAAGTAAATTTCTCTCATTAGTCAAAAATAGGAACTATTTTAGTGAAAAAATTAACTATAAATTAAATATACACTCTTTATTTCTCTCATTAGTCAAAATAGGAACTATTTTAGTGAACGGAGGGTGTATGACACTTAATTGGTACGTGCTCCACTTGCTAAGAGGCAATTATACTAAGTATAGATGGTTCGGACCTCTACAAGTACTAAATGTCGGCTTACTCTCTCCTACCAATTAATCTGTGATCAAAATCTAGTACTCCATCTATTCTATAAAAGTGTTCCTATTTTAATTTTTTGTAAAAATAAGGAAGTGTTAAATTATTGTTGACTTCCAATTTTGCCCTTGATATGATGAGTAAAGGTAAGATGTGATGTATTGAGTATTAGAGAAAAAGTATGATGTAATAGGTAGTATATGAAAAAGTAAGGGTAAAAATGAGTTTTTAATAGAAAGTTGATGAAGTGTTTTGTTAGAAGTAAAAAAATGAAAGAAGAAGAGTTTTTGAGAACAGAGGATGTAATAGAATTAAGGTGTGTATATAATAGTACAATTAATGTATGTACATCAGTACATGTATATAATACATGTACTTACTACTCCGTAATACTAACCCTCCGTAATACTTAATTGTAGTTATAATAGTACAATTAATGTATATACAATACCGGAGTATAAGACTTTGTAGTACTTAGAGCACTGGTAATACCTTTGAAGCCCCGGGTCTTCAAACCGGGGCTTCAAAATTTTTCTCTCTGTCACGTCAGCTTTAACTTACACCAAAAATTCACTGGAAATGGGTTTGAAGCCCCGGGGCTTCAAACCTTTATTTTTTACATTTTTAAATATACATCTTCTAAATTTAAATTAATTTATTATTTAATAATATTGAAACACGAATCCAAAAAGTACATTCATTAAAATAAAAAACAACAATATTAAAAAAGATATATTAATTAAAAAAACTAAGGTAAATTATATTTCGTCTTGATCTCTCTTTATCTTTGCTTGTATATCATCCGTTTGAAACCCGACAACGTAGAAATGTCAGTTTCCATGATTTTAAATAAAAAAATTACATTCATTAAATAAAAAAATTGCATTCATTATAAAAAAAATACATTGATTAAATAAAAACATTGCATTCATTAAATAAAAAATTTACATTAATGAAAAATTAAATAAAATACTTGAATAATAATTTTTTTAAAAAATGATAGACAGAGATAAATTTGTATATGTGTTGAATTTTTAAAAAAAATTAAATTTAATTTATAGAGAAGAAAAGGGGAAAAAAGAGGGAGAAAAAAGAAGGAAGAAAGCCTTCTCATGCCTTCAACTCGCGTCAAAGATTTAACGCAGGAGTTTTAACGCCCTTATAACAGGGGAGAGGAGCAGTGTTTCACGCCCCCCAAACGTCAAAACTAGGCTAACGCCCTTTGGCGTTACAAGTATTTCCACTGCTCTTACTACTCTGTAATACTAACCCTCCGTAATATGGTGCGTATGTATGTACAATTAATGTACTAACTAGTCTAATTTTATGGTGGGTATGTACATGTTTATATTTAAAATTTAACCAATATCTTTTCAAAATAAATTTGAAAAGAACTTTTTGAAATAAAGAAATATAAAATGATTACTTTTTTTGTAATGTACTCCCTCCGTCCCAGAAAACCTTTCTCCTTTCTTTTTTCATCCGTTCCTAAAAAACACTTCTCATTTCTATTAAAAAGTCACTTTTACCCATTACTTTTTCATACTCTACCTATCACATCATACCTTTTTACTAATAATCTATCCATCAAATCACACTTTTACCCATCACATCAAAGGACATTTTTGGAAATTCAATACAAAAATACATTCTCCTTAAATCCCTCTTCAAAACCAAAACTCTCATGTTTTCCGGGACGGAGGGAGTATTTGCATATATGTTGGGTTCAAGATTGTCCATCCCGATTGAATATTTTGACTTCTCATGTTTAAGTAGTCCGTATTTTTTTGGTAAAGGTATTTTGTACAAATCCACTTATTCGCACCATTTTAGAAAAATCTACCCATCATCAAACTCCCTTAAACATGAGGAAAATTCAAAACAGAAAAACAAAATTTGGACAAGAACGAGGATCGAGTAACACAAATCACAATCGTACGGCTTTTGAAATAACGTTGGGAGATGATGCGACAATTCCTCTTCACGATACTTATATTGCACATTAGTACAATTAAATAAAATTTTGAATGTTAATTTTTTTTAAAGTTTCACCTGAATAAATCTAATAAATCTATTTTTATTCTATTATACATTACAATTGTTGTTTAATTGAAGTTTAAATTGATCCAGTTTCACTTGAAAAAATAATATGATAGAAATATATACTATGATTGAGGAAATATACATCAAAATAAAACCCTCTAAATAGGAGTAAAACATGGATCATATCTTCAAAATAGGAGTTCAAACTTAAACTAACTCCCCTAAATAGAAGTAACTAATTAAATACTCCGTATATGTTTTAATTAACTCTCCTAGCCGCACAAACAAGTTGGCCGCACAAACAAAGTTGCGTGCACAACCAAGTTGGACTTCCAGTACTCATTAAACAAAACTATGACAAAAAGTAGAGTTACTTGACATTTAACTCTTTCTGACATTATGCATTAACATCTGTGATATTTAACATTATACATTGATGTATCTTTCATTATACATTACCAGGAATGATATTATACAATGTCAAGGTTGACATTATCTATTTAATTTGTTTAGCATTATGCATTCGCATGTATGACTTTATACATTGGCAGGATTGCCATTATATGATTACATGTGACATTTCATATGGTCTTTTTTGACACTTTATGGACATTTTAATTTAGCAATTTACTACGTTTCTATATGTAAGGTATTGATTCATTTTTTGTTGATGAAGTTTTGGGTGTGTTTTGTTATTATATTTAATTTTATTTACGTTCAAATTTGTTATTTTTTTTGTCGATTCAGTTTGATAATGATTCAATAAGAATTTACTATATATCAAGATGATTGAACGAGAGTCTGCCAACAATACGCAACATGGAAAGTATTTTTAATAATAATACGATTGATTTGGGCAGCAGTTTGTTGAACTACTAGGTAAAGCAAGGACAATGTTCACATGGTCATTATGTTACAACATTATGTTCACATGGAAGAGTTGAAGAGGCACTAGAGTCTTCTAAGCAAATGATAAGGTGTTAAAATAAATTAAATTACATTTTTGATATTACTGAATTTTTTCTAATTTCTAGAATTGTCTGAGGTTGAGACTTAGAGGCTTGGAGTGTATGGGTGTTTAAAAGAGTATGAAAATTTATAATTTTAAAAAAATAATTAAATAAAGAAGAAATTGCATGGAAGAGTAAAGGTCCTAATTGGAAACAAAGGATATGGAAATTCATGCATGAGACGGATTAGAACAATGCACCGAACTCCGGGGTTGAAAATTCAGCACATGTACGTATATAAGGAGTTTTGGAATTTAGTCATTGTTTAGTTTTGGGAGATGCATGAGTCATTATTTTTGGAGTAAAAAAAGTATAGTCATTGTTATGTTAATTACTCCTATTTAGGTGAGTTTAAGTTTCAACTCTTATTTTGGAATATGACAACTCTTTTACTCCTACTTTGGTCTATCTTCCATACATCAATTTAAATTCTTTCCTCGTGCTTAATTACCATAACTCCCTCCGTTCCCCAGTATTTGTCTATTTTCATTTTTACACACCATCCAATACACTTCTTTAATCTATTTTATCTTGTAATTTTTATATTAAAAAATTATAAAAATTATATATTAATAATCTATATGTTAAGACAAATCAAACAAGATCACACATAACTATATTTAGGCTTACACATTGAGAGAATTTGATGAGTCAAAGTGCTAAGATTAATAGTTTCAAAAGTCAAAAGTGAACAGATATAGCGGGACGGAGGGAGTATACGGTAAGTAATTTGTATTATTGTAAAAATATAGTAACAATAATTTGGATTATTAGACTATAGTAGGTACATTGTACATACGCACCATTTAATTGCAAGTGTCACCATTTAATTGCAAGTGCGGTTAGTACGTATAATTGACAGGTTAGTTACGCAACAATGCAACATTAAGGCAATTTGTACTATCCTAAAAATATAAAAATATACTTCTTCCCTCCCATAAATTTTATTCTTGTTTTGATATTTTGCCAAACGGTGACAATTTTTAACTACAAATTACTACAAATTTTAATTAAAAATTGATAATTTTGAATTATAGAAATTCTATCATAACACGATATAATTATATTATATTTAATTTACTGCATAGTTAAAAATAATTTTTGACAATTTATGGTCAAAGATGTCAGTATTTAACTAAAAAAAAGTAAAAACCGAAAGTAATTTATGGAATGGAGGGAGTACAATAGTTTGTACTTTCATGATTAGTATAACTAGTTTTTATCACGTGATTCGCAGAGGCTCGCATACTTTTATATATAAAATATTATCAATAAAATTGTTATTTTTATATTAAAAAATAAACTTAATTATTATTTGTGTATTTAAGTTTTTATATCAAAACAACAATAAATGAGTGAGATGGTGATGAGATTAAGAGGAGGGGCGTGGAGTACATTTACAAATCATTCATCCAATTAATTGTAATAATCAAATAAGAAATCAAATCACATATAAATGGCTGCTACTCAAGGATGTTCTGGCGGCGGCGGCGGCCGCACGTACTGGAGTGCAAGAGAAAACAAGGCCTTTGAAGAGGCGCTAGCGGTGTACGATCAGGACACGCCGGATCGGTGGTACAGCATTGCGAAGCTGGTGGGAGGCGGGAAGACGGAGGAGGAGGTGAAGAGGCACTACCAAATCCTCGTGAGGGACATCAACCTCATTGAGTCCGGCCGCGTCCCCTTCGTCTCGGATCTGGTGCTATGAGAGAGCTAGATTGAGGTTCTTCATGTGCTTGTTCATCACAACTCTCCTGGTTGCTTTGTTCTAACTCAGGCTCGTGATCTTCTGCATCATTGGCTTCTTGAGTGTCATTGTCTTCACTTCGAGCTGGAGTGAGATCGGCACTCTTGCTACTTCTCAATCTTGGTCTCTCCGAATTTTTATTGTCTTCAATTGTTTGGTCTTCAAGAATACAACATCTCTGCTCCGAACAACTTTTCTGTTAAATAGATCCCAAAGCCGGTACCCATATTAATCCTTTCTGTTGAAAAGGCAATGAGGCATTACCAATGGAGAGAGTACAATAGTTCGTAATTCCATGATTAGTATAACTAGTTTTTACCTCGTACGTGGCCGGACTTAATGCGGTTGATATCCCTCACGAGGATTTGGTAGTGCCTCTTCACCTCCTCCTCCGTCTTCCCGCCTCCCACCAGCTTCGCAACGTTGTACCACCGGTCCGGCGTGTTCTTGTCGTACACCGCTAGCGCCTCTTCAAAGGCCTTGTTCTCTCTTGCACTTTAGTACGTGCCGCCGCCGCCGCCAGAACCTCCTTGAGTAGCAGCCATTTATATGTGATTTGATTTCTTATTGGATTATTATAATTGATTGGATGAATGATTTGCAAATGTGAAAGGCTATGGCTGCTCCTTTATATACACCTCCAGGCTCCAGCCTCCCCCTCCATATACGTACTTCACTTAATGTAAGCACATGTGTATACATTAAGGTGTGTGCATTATAGTGCAATTAATGTATGTACACGTATTAATAGTACAATTAATTTGTACGGGTACATGTATATAATAGTACTTACTACTCCCTAATAATAACCCTCCGTAACTTAATTGTACTTATACAATTAATAAGTATGTACCGTATAACGGTGGGGTTCTAGTGACACCAGAGTACGGTGCCACTAGCGGTGCCACTGGTATTTTGGGGCACCTCCGGTGCTCCGTTCGCAAAATTGACGGTTCCTACCCCCCCTAACCCACCCCCTAAACCCCTCACCCTACCCCCGCCCCTGCACCCCCACCCCCACCCCGCCGTAAGCCCTCCACAAAATGTGTGGCTATTATGCAACGCATAATAGCCTCACATTTTGTGGGGGGCTTACGGCAGGGTGGGGTGGGGGTGCAGGGGTGGGGGTAGGGTGGGTGGGTTAGGAGGGGTAGGAACCGTCAATTTTGCGAACGGAGCACCGGAGGTATCCCAAAATACCAGTGGCACCGGAATGGCACCGTACTCCGGTGTCACTAGAACCCCACCGACCATATAATAGTACTTACTACTCCGTAATACTAAATTACCAACCCTCCGTAATATATACCTATGGTGCGTATGTATGTACAATTAATGTACCAACCAGTCTAATTTTATGGTGCGTACGTACATATTTATGTTTAAAACTTGAACCAATCTTTTTTCAAAATAAATTTGAAAAGAATTTTTTTAAATAAAGAAATACTCCCTCTATCCCATAAAGTGTTACCCATTTTGACTAAAGTTAAAATTAAGGGAGGGATAATTTTGTGTTGACTTTCCAAAAATACCCTTGATATGATGGGTAAAAGTAAAATGTGATGTGTAGATTATTAGAAAAAAGTTATGATGTGATAGGTAGGGTTTGAAAAAATAAGGGGTAAAAGTGGTTTTCTAATAGAAATAGGTAAGGGATTGTGGGACACAATTTTTTTTGAAACGTGTAAATCTTTTTGGGACGGAGGAAGTATAAAATTAAATGATTACTTTTTTGTAAAAATATAACAATAGTTTGGATTATTAGACTATAGTTGGTACATTGTACATACGCACCATTTAATTGCAAATGTGGTTAAATTAGTACGTATAATTGACAGGGTTACTTACGCATCAATGCCACATTACGGTAATTTGTACTATTATAAAAAGAAATATTTGCACTAAATAGCACTAAACTTAAGTCATTTCTCTAAATAGTACTTAAACCGTTTTGTTTCCTAAATAGCACTTAATAATGTCTATAATGTCCAGTGATGCCAAATATTTACTTGAATGATGACTAATACATAATGACTAAAAGTGCTACATTGAGAAGAAAAACACTTATGGTGATATTTAGGAAAAGTCATTATTTTTAGTTCTATTTAAGTAATTCCTCTTATAAAAATATACTTCCTCCCTCCCATAAATTTTGTTCTTGTTTTGATATTTTGTCAAATGGTGACACTTTTTAGCAGCCATTTATATGTGATTTGATTTCTAATTTGATTATTGCAAATGTGGTGGTGGTATAGTTGGGGAAGGGGACGCGGCCGGACTCAATGAGGTTGATATCCCTCACGAGGATTTGGTAATGCCTCTTCACCTCCTCCTCCGTCTTCCCGCCTCCCACCAACTTCGCAACGTTGTACCACCGGTCCAGCGTGTTCTTGTCGTACACCGCTAGCGCCTCTTCAAAGGCCTTGTTCTCTCTTGCACTCCAGTACGTGCCGCCGCCGCCAGAACCTCCTTGAGTAGCAGCCATTTATATGTGATTTGATTTCTTATTTGATTATTATAATTAATTGGATGAATTATATGTGATTTGATTTCTAATTTGATTATTGCAAATGTGAAGGCTATGGCTGCTCCTTTATATACACATCCAGCCTCCACCTCCATATACGTTCTTCGTCTATCACCTTCACCTAATGAGGCATAGTATAGTATAGTACTCCGATCCTTTCCTCCCGTAAAGTGGGACGGTTTGATTAAAGTATTAACTATCGGGTACCTCACATTTTAAAAATATATTCCAGGATACCTCCAAATATACATTAATTTTACGCCATTAATTTTAAAAAATAGGGGTTTGGAATTTTAAAAGTAACCAAGATCTTTTTAATTTGAAGAAAATTGTACTCAATACTTTGGAGGCGTAAAATTAATGTATATTTGGAGGTATCCTGGAATATATTTTTAATATGTGAGGTACCCGATAGTTAGTTTCTCAAAATAGATGGTATCTCGGAGTATATTTTAAAAATGTGAGGTACCCGATAGTTAGTTTCTTAAAATAGAAGGTAACTCGGAGTATATTTTGAAAATATGAGGTACCCGGCAGTTAGTTTCTCAAAATATGAGTTAACAATTCAACCACCCTTGCAATGTTTGTATAAATAGTTCTAACCCTCTCAATTGTATGTATAATATGGTACTAATTGTACGTGCTAATTTAACCCTCTCATACTCATTTAACCCTTACGTATATAATAGTACCCAGGGTAAGTATATGTTATTTTCAACTTAATTGTACTAGTCCGTATTACTAACTCCTCTTCATCAATTAATGTAAGCACATGTGTATACATTAAGGTGTGTGTATTATAGCGCAATTAATGTTTGTACACGTATTAATAGTACAATTAAGAATAATGTTAGAGTCACAAATAAAAACTCACAAAATTCACAATCTTACCTTTTGTGCATTTAAGTATTTATTTTTTGATTATTTGAAACCATTATTTGACACCTTTAATTTACATTATTGGCAAAATTGTGAATTTTGTGATTATTTAGTTTGTGACTCTAGCATTATGTGTACGGGACTACAGGTACATGAATATAATAGTACTTACTACTCCCTAATAATAACCCTCTGTAACTTAGGGGCTGTTTGTTTCAGCCTCTTAATGGTTCAGATGTCTGAATGGTTCAGCACTTAATGGTTCAGACTGTTTGTTTCAGCCTCTTAATGGTTCAGATGTCTGAATGGTTAAGAGATTTGCCTCTGAATGGTTAAGTATTATACAGAGTTTGAATGGTTAAGACCTTTTATCTGAATTGATCAGACATTTGTCTGTGAATAGTTAAGCAATATACTAGCTCTTAATGGTTCAGACCTCTTACTGGTTCAGCACTTACCGATTCAGAAGTTTCCAAACAGCTCATTAATTGTACTTATACAATTAATAATGTATGTACCATATAATAGTACTTACTACTCCGTAATACTCCCTCCGTCTCCCTAAGATGTTTTCATTTTGACTTTTGGTAATTTTTAAAGAAAGTTGAAAAAGGTGAAAGTTTACCATAATACCCTTAATGAAAAATGAGTGGAGTGTATTAAATGAGGTGGGTGAAATGTAATAAATAAAGTAAATGGGGGTAGTTGTGGTATTTTAATTGTCAAAAAATAAAATGAAAAGATCTATTATGTACAAAGAAAAAGGGTTATTGAGAAGATATAGGGGGGAGAGAGTACTAAATTACTAACTCTCCGTAATACGTTGTATATACCTATGGTGCGTATGTATGTACAATTAATGTACCAACTAGTCTAATTTTATGGTGCGTACGCACATGTTTATGTTTAAAACTTGAACCAATATTTGTTCAAAATAAATTTGAAAAGAATTTTTTTAATAAAGAAATATAAAATTAGATGATTACTTTTTATGTAATATTAGCATATATGTTCGATTCAAGATTGTTCGTCCGGATTGAATCTTTTGACTTCTCATGTTTAAGTATTTTTTAGTAAAGGTATTTTGTACAAATCCACTTATTCGCGCCATTTTAGACAAATCTGCCCATCATCAAACTCCCTTAAACATGAGGAAAATTCAAAACAGAACAAAATTCGGAGGAGTAACACAAATCACAATCGTACGGCCTTTGAAATAACGTTGGGAGATGACGCGACAATTCCTCTTCACGACACTTATATTACACATTAGTACAATTAAATAAAATTTTGAATGTTAATTTTTTTAAAAGTTTTTGCACGAATAAATCTTATAAAATTATTTTTATTTTATTATACATTACAATTTTTGTTTAATTAATTGAAGTTTAAATTGATCCAGTTTCACTTGGAAAAATAATACAATAGAAATATACTTTGACGGAGGAAATATACAGCAATTTAAATTCTTTCCTCGTGCTTAATTACCATAATATACGGTACTTAACTAGTTTGTGTTATTGTAAAAATATAACAATAGTTTGGACTATTAGACTATAGTTGGTACTAGACCTGGCAAAACTGACTCGGAACCGAACCCAAATTGACCCAAAAACTGAAAAACCGAAATAGAAACGAACACCCGAAATGATCCGAACCCGAACCCGAACCCGAACAAAATGTATTCAGACCTGATTCAGACCCGAATCCGATTAAACTCAAACCGATTAAACCCGAACCCGGTTAAACCCGAACCCGGTTAAACCCGGAACCGATTAGACCCGAAATTGATCAAATTCATTAATATTTCATTTATCAAATGAATTTGGAGAAAACGAATTACCTATATATTTTTACATATGTTGATGTATTTCTAAAAAAACATATTTAAATTATGGGTGCAAACCATGTAACTACTTTCATGTACAAATCTTTTACTTTGCATTTTATAACTTAAGTTAAAATATTTT